CGCCCGGGCGCCGACGGCCTTAACGAGGACTCGGCGGGGCCCCCGAGTCAGCGAGAAATCCGAGTTGTGGGGGCCGAGGGGAGGCCACATCTCAAGGGGTACGGGGGTGATCGGTAGGGGTGAGCGCAGGATTAGAAAAATGGCCGTTTTGAAAATAGGAGGCGGGGCGCCTGACTGGCTCAGCCGGTAGAGCAAGCGGCTCTTGATCTTGGGGGTCTTCAGTTCAATCCCGCGTTGTGCATAGAGCTTACTTAAAAAAAAGAGAGAGAGAAAATAGGCGCTCCTGCCTGGCCTGGGGTGGGGGGGCTGCTTCAAGAGAAAGGTAGTAAGTTAACATTTTGCATTTCTTTGCACACTGGGCAGCAAAGACCTGCTCCTTCTTGTCTTGGTGCTAAAAATACCAAGCTTTCTTTGGACCGCCTGCTGAAATTTGTTCCTAAGATCTGCCCTGGGGAGATGGCTGAGAGCACTCTCGGGGAAGGAGGGAGACTCGAGGTATAGCTAGCTTGCAGAGGGGTGGGCACGCTGCTGGCCGGGTACTTGTATTAGAAAGGCTAACCTCAGTGGTCGCCTCCTGCCTCTCTGAAATGAGGCACAGGCACACTTCTGACTCTTAAACTCATCCAAGTGGAAGAGGGCTAGGTGGGCAATAGGAAAGTGGCATCTATCAAAACTGGGCCACGTTCTAGTAGAAGCAACCAACAGGTTGAGTCGTAAGGAGATCTTGCAATGCAGACTGTCCATTCCCAGTTGCTTTTATTAAAGGGGAGGCAGTCTGCTTGTGACAGGCTGCTCAGCGATGTCTGTGGGGAACCTGTCCATTCAGTCACCCTTAAGCAGATACTGAGTGCTTGGTTGAGTGCCTCATCTGTGCTAGGCTCTATTTTGATGCTGAGGATACAACAGTAAACAACTGCTGAAGCCTCTTGCTCCATAAAGCTTACTTTTAGTGGGGAAGACAATTACAAGTTGAGATAAATGCTGGAACAAAAGCAAGGGGCTGGGATAGAGAATAGGAGCCACTTTGGATGGAGCTGACAGGGAGAGTGTCTTTGAGAAGGAAATGTTGAAGTCAAATGGATGAGGAGACAGCCTGGGGAAAAGCCAGGCAGACACCTTCCAGGTTGAGAGCAGCATGTGCCGAGGTCCTGGAAAAAGGTAAGCTCTGGACCTGTGAAGGAGCTGGAAGAAATCAGTGTGGTTTGAATAGCAAGCCTGTGAAGGAGGATCAAGATGAAATGGGGAGGTGGCCAGGGCATGCGAGACTGTCTAGGGATGGAGGCTTTTTAATTAAACCATTGAAGGGTTTTAGGCAGAAGACTAACACGTTCTGATTTACTGCTGCGTGAAGAATGCAGTGGGTGGGTGGCAGGCAGAAATAAAAGCAAGAAGACAATTAGACTATTGTGGCAGTCCAGGCCAAAGATAATGGTGGTTTGGACCAAATTGTGGCCACACTAAGATGAGTAGTTGAGAGAAGCTATTTTGGACATGAACTCAACAGGACATATTGGTAGGATGGATGTCAGGGGAGGAAAGGGAGAAACCAAAGATAACTTTCAAATTTCTGGCTAGAGTAAGCTGGTGGACAGGGCCTCATTGATTGGATGAGGTAGCCTAGAGGAAAGAGACTATAGCTCAGGGAGAAGCATCAAGAATTCTGCTTTAGCCATGTTGACTTTGAGATGCCCATCAAAGACCCAATTCAACTATCAAGACTAGGAGCTCAGAAGGGAGGCCTGGGCTGCGGGGCGGGGCAGGGGGGGGCACTTTGGGAGGCATTATCTTAAAGATGGTAAAGGCTGTGGTATCTGAGGAAGTCACCTAGGGTGAGCCAGTAGTTACAGAAGAGAGGGTTCAAGAGGAACCCAGAGGAGCCAAAGGAGCCAGAGCAGGAAAGAAGACTGAGCAAGAGAGGCTAAGGAGGCAAGAGGAGAACCAGGAGACTGCTATATCCCAGAGACAGAGAAAGGAAAGAGTTTCTAGAACAGAGTGGGCGGCTGTGTTAGATGCTACTTAAAGCTCAGATAAGATGAAGACAGGGAGGGATTCACTGACTGGCAACATGAAAGACATTGGTGACTGTGATAAGGACAGTGTTCCTGGAGTAGTGAGACAGGAGCCAGACCATGGTGGAGCTACCCTGTTTGGACAGCTTGTCTAACATGGAATGAGAACTGGGAGGGGTCTCGAAACAGATGTGGAATCACAGGAGACTTTGGCAGAGATTGCTAGGTGACCCTAATAGCCATTCTCCCCCTGGCTCCGTGGCTCCCCAGAATAAAAGCAAGTTGTCAGACTCCCTTGCAGGTAGGTGTGGTCACATGACTTAGTTCCAGCCAACCAGCAGCAATGGGAGGCGTCCACGTACAACTTCTGAGAACCAGCTTTCAAGGGCCATGGTGTTCTCTCCTCAGCTGTTGCTCTTTCCGCTCACTGGAATACGTGAAGGTGTAGCCTGAGCTCAAGGAACCATGTTAGACTTTGAAGTGGAAGGCATGTGTTGAGAATGTTAGTGCCACAAGTTAGAATACATCTGGGTTCCTAATGTTTAGGGAGCCACCATACCTGCTCTGGAATACATACCTCTTGACTTTGTCTATGGAAGAAAGAAAATTTCTGTCTTGTTTAGTCCTCTGTTTTCTGATGCTGGTAACCATATCTAGCTTTAACTTTTGTTAGAATACAGAGGGGTTTGTTGAAATTTGGAAGTTGCTAGAGCAAGTTTATGGAGTGATAGGAATGATCCAGAATGGAAGGCAGGAGTGAGGATTCTGAAGAAAGAGAGATGGGACATGGGCCCTAAGGGAGAGGACACCTCTGATGGAGGGACACCTCCACCATTATTGAGGGGAGTATGGAGGCAGAGATGTTTCCAGTGAAGTTGGCCTTGGAAAGGCAGTCATTCACACTTGATGGTATTTGCTGAATTCTGGATGTGAAGGAGGTCATGAGCTTAGAGCAAGGAGGAAGGAGAGGCTTAACCCCCCATTAAGCACCATGACCTAGATGGCAGAGGTCCTGCCAGCCAAAGCGCCCCTCAGAGACTAGTCCACTCCCTTGTGGACTAGTCGGCCACACTGCAGCAGGGTATGAAGAGGGTGAAGGAGGGGTGCCTGGGTGGCTCAGTGGGTTAAGCGGCTACCTGCGGCTCAGGTCATGATCCCAGGGTCCTGGGATCGAGTCCCGCATCAGGCTCCTTACTCAGCAGGGAGTCTGCTTCTCCCTCTGCCTGCCGCTCCCCCTGCTTATATTCTTACTTGCTCTCGCGCGCGCGCACACGCTCTCTCTAGCAAATAAATACA